ACCTTCCCAGGATCATCCCAACCCCACAGCCAGCCAAGGACCTTCCCAGGAACCCCCCAACCCCACAGCCAGCCAAGGACCTTCCCAGGAGTCCCTCAGCCACTCACACCCCGAGCCAGAGCCGGAGTAGATGTCATCCAGCTCATCTTCTCCAAAGGGGTCGTCGTCCCCGGAGCCCTCCAGGTCCACGGGCCTCTCGTAGTTCTCATTGCGCCAGCGCTGAGCCTGTGACCGGAGGGACGCGTGAGCGGCTCCAGCCCCAGCCGGGTGACGCCCCAGCCACCCCTCGTGGGTTGAGGCACGGGAAAAGCCAGGCCAAGGCAGCAGCAGCACAAACGGCTTCCAGCTGAACCACCCAGAATCGCAGTGTTCTCCCCCGAAACAGCTCAGAGTGAGCTCACAACGACTCCAGCATTTCCCATGGATAAAAAGGCCTTTTTTTTTTAGGGGAAAACCCAACAATTCGTTATGGAAACTGTAAGAAAAATGCTTGGTTTGGTTCTCCAGCTGGCTGCTGTTCAGCTCGATGATTTCCCTATGAGTCCTGGCTCCGGTGTGACAGCAACACCTCATCAGCTGCCACAGCTTGGGAAGCCTCGAGAGGAAACAACAGCAGACTTCAAATATTCCCCTGCCTCCCAGAGCTGCGAAAACACGGGGAGCCCTCGCTAGCAGCGCTCTTAAACATCTTGTTTTGCAGATCAAAGTGTCTCCTGTTGGCGTTGCAAGGGAACGCTTTGACACCTCATTACAAGGCAAACAAGGCGGCTTTGATCTGCGAGATCGCATCGGATGTTTCAAGATGTAACGAGCCAGGTTCCAGCTTCAGTTTCAAATCAAGGCCTTGAAGAGTCCCTGTCTCTCTCAGAGCATTTTACCTCCCGAAAACAACTCGGGGTTTCTTTGTTTTCACTACAGCTTGGAGCAGGAAGGAGTTTTGAACAGCCAGGTGGAGAAATTTGGGACCTGACTCGTGTCTTGCCGCCCCCCCGCCGCCCCTCCACATCCCTTCTCCCATCAGGAGAGAATCCAGCAGCTCGAGAAGGGCAGGGGGAGTTGCGTTTTAAGTGTCTGAGCTGTGTCTGGTCGGATCTGTTCCAGATCTCCCCAGCAGCCACCGGCTGTATCCTGCCTGTCTCCAACACCCCACGTGCTTCCCAAATCTCTGGGAATATTCAGCCTTTGCCCCCCAGCTCGGGGGGCATCCTGGATTCCCAACACCCCCTCACCAGCAGCTCACTGGAATTTGTGATCCAGCAGAATAAATACGTAGGGATTTGGGAATTGCACAGCCCAAAAATACGAGACAGGTCACCAGAACTGATGGGAAGGCAAGGAAAAATGCCAAGGATTGAGGGGTGCAGGAAGAAGCATGGGGAATCAGACTCATTTGCCTCTTGATGTTTTTATACCAGAAGTATCAAGGCTCCCCAAGAAATGAGGAGAGCCCATCACTTCCCAGCCCACCCCCATTCCCGAGACTGGAATTCTCCCTGTGTGACCTGCAAAGCCTCTCCCTGATGGGAGCCACATGGCCTCACTCCCTTTGTTCCTCCTGAAATTGGAACCAGATGAGGCCATTCCAGAGTCCTGGCTCTGGGCTTGGAGCAGGAAATGGGAAAGGAAGTCCCAGCTTGGCTCAGCAGCCCCCATCTGTGCATCCATGCATCCACCTATCCATCCATCCATCCATCCATCCATCCGTCATCCATCCATCCATCCATCCATCCATCCCTCCATCCATCCATCCATCATCCATCATCCATCCATCCATCTATCCATCCCTCCATCCATCCATCCATCATCCATCATCCATCCATCATCCACCTATCCATCCATCCATCCATCCATCCATCCATCCATCCATCCCCCATCCATCATCCATCATCCATCCATCCATCCATTCATCATCCATCCATCATCCATCCATCATCCATCCATCCATCCATCCATCCATCCATCCATCCATCCATCCATCATCCACCCATCCATCCATCCCCCATCATCCATCCATCATCCATCCATCCATCCATCCATCCATACATACATACATACATCATACATCCACCCACCCATCCATCCCCTGTCCATCCATCCATCCATCATCCATCCATCCATCATCCATCCATCCATCCATCCATCATCCATCCATCATCCATCCATCCATCATCCATCCATCATCCATC